CCCCCCACCCTCCCCGCCCCTCCACCTCCCCCCATCCACCCCCCCCCCCATCCATGGTCAGCCCTGTCTTGTAAAAGGCTCATAAGCCTGATTTGTCTGCATATGGAGTGGGGCCACCTCCGCAGGCTGGATCCCCACAACCAGCTCCAAGAGTCTGAGAGCAACATCAGAGTTGTAAAGTACAGTGACAGAGTGACACAGTGACAGAGTGAGGGCCTGACATCTGAATGGGAGAGTCTGATGAATGGATGCCCCCATGGCGCCAGAGGGAGACAGCCGGGGGCAGGGGCTCACCGCGGGGCGGGGCTGGGACTACAGGTTCAGTGGCCGGTGATTCCAGGGATTCCGCCTCCTTCTCTCACCAGGTCCAGGCCACCAGCCTTTCAGAAGCAAGGCGCCCCTCCCGGACCCTGCTTTCTATCAAGTGTGGCCTGGGGCTGCTGGCAGCTATTTTTTCTCTTTAAAGCGGACGTTGTAAATCAGTGGTTTTTGGGTAGAATTCAACTCAAAGTCATTTTCTGTTTGGCTTACACATTTTTTTTTTAAGTGGAATTAGGTGCCAATATTTAAAAATCAAGAGATTCCTCGGGGCGCCTGGGTGGCGCAGTCAGTTAAGCGTCCGACTTCAGCCAGGTCACGATCTCGCGGTCTGGGAGTTCGAGCCCCGCGTCAGGCTCTGGGCTGATGGCTCAGAGCCTGGAGCCTGTTTCCGATTCTGTGTCTCCCTCTCTCTCTGCCCCTCCCCCGTTCATGCTCTGTCTCTCTCTGTCCCAAAAAGAAATAAACGTTGAAAAAAAAATATTTTTTTTAAATAAATAAATAAAAAATCAAGAGATTCCACATAAATGTCCACCTCTCCAGCTTCTCCTAAAACCCCACAAGGCCATCAAGACTGCGTCCGCACTCCCGGATGGCTGGCTTGCCCCCTTTGCTTTCTATCTGCAGGCATCGGGGGTTCACGGCGGGGCTTAACTATCCGCAGGCAATCGTACTTCCTCAGTCCCGAGCCCCTGGGCTGCCTCATCACAGCCCCCCAAGAACCCACATCCACTTCCTACAGTGTCATAATGAACTTAAGAAAACACACACTACAGATCATGATGAAAGACTAGGGTTTTTTGAAGTTTATTTATTTATTTAGAGCGAGAATCCCAAGCAGGTTCTGTGCTGTCAGTGCAGAGGCATATGTAGGGCTTTGATGGACGCTTAACCAACGGAGCCATCCAGGCGCCCCGAAAGACTGATTTTTAAAAAGAAATTGTTAATTCCTTTAAGGCATGTTGTCCTAGCCAGGGAACACATACAATATTGCATATAAAGTACTGGGATTTCATTTCTTTCTTTCTTTCTTTCTTTCTTTCTTTCTTTCTTAAATTTTTTTGATGTTTATTTATTTTGGAGAGAGAGAGAGAGAGAGCACGCGCTCGCGCACGAGTGGGGGAGGGGCAGAGAAAGAGGGAGACACAGAATCCGAAGCAGGCTCCAGGCTCTGAGCTGTCAGCACAGAGTCCAACGTGGGGCTTGAACTCATAGACTGCAGGATTATGACCGGAGCCAAAGTTGGACGCTTAGCTGCCTGAGCCACCCAGGTGCCCCTGGGATCGCATTTCTAAAGAGCTCAGAACAGTAACCGACATGGCAAGTGCTCTATGCATGTTAACAAACATGGGGAAGGAGTGGGGGGCGGAGAAGAGAGGGAAACAAACCACAAGAGACTCTTAACGATGGAGAACAAACTATGGGTTGCTGGAGGGAAGTGGGTGGGGGATGGGCTGGCTGGAGGATGGGGACTAAGGAGGACACTTGTGATGAGCACTGGGTGTTGTATGGAAGTGATGAGCCACTGAATTCTACTCCTGAAACCAATATTGCACCGTATGTTAGCTAAAATTTAAATGTAACAACAAAGGGGGAAATATGATAACAAGCCTTTGAAAATGTGTGGCTTATAAAAGGTTTGAGGGGCGTGGAGGAGGGTGCTGAACACCGGGTCCCTCGAGGCCCGGGAGCACTAAGGATCATGGGATCTCCCTCTACCTAAAAAGTCACAGGAATCCCCGCGGCGGGGGGGGGGGGGGGGGGGTCAGTGGACTGGTGCTAAGCACCAGCTGTGTGCCTGGGGTTCCAGTTGCTACGCCGGCTCTGATCACATCTCGGGTCAGAGTGCCCTCTGGGTCCCCCTCCAAAGGTGCACTCCCGGCCTGCCTGCCTTCCCTGCCGGCAATCTGTGTCTGTCGGAAGCTGGTAACCCACGCAGGGTTCATTAGGCGCCCCCAGTTGTGAGAGGGCCTCCAGAAGCCCATGAGCCCCCGCGATGTTGGGCAAAATGCATCCATGTGCATTTTTCGGGAACGGGGTGACAGGGAGTCATAGCTTTCATTAGGCTGTCAAAGGATTCTGTCCCAAAGAGCCACTCACATCGCGGAGACTAGGAGTCCACGCCAGGGTTCTGGTCAGAGATGTCCTAACCCCTGCCTCCAAGCTCGCGTGGAAGCATCATGGTCTATCCCACCAAGCAAGGGCGGCAGTGGACGGGGCCCCATCTGTCCACTGAGGACGGCCAACAATGCTGATGTGTTGCTTCTAATGTACACTGTGTGCAGGTTTCCACCGATGATGTTTTATTTCAACAGCCCACCCTTTTCCAGGAGTGGGCAAGCATTCAGCGTGTCGCAGCGTGCTATGGCGACCGCTGGAGACGCAGGCTGAAACGAAGGCAGTCGTTCTCTGGGATTCTCGAAGGTCAGGTAACGCCAAGGGGGCTTTCTTCTACTGCCCTGAGCAATGAATGGCCCCGGCACCATCCACCTCCACCGCAATCCCTTTCCCACTCTCATCTGTGAGGGAAGATTCCCAGAGAATCTTCTGTCCTGTCAGGAGGCGAGGAGGAGAAAGCTGCTGTCTAGGGGTGGGGGAAAAGGCACTGCCCGAGTTCCCGTGGCTGCCCTGACAGAGCCCAAATGAAACCTAACAAACTCCTGGTCCCACAGGTCTGGAGGCCAGAAGTCTGAAATCATGGTGCATGTGGGGCCAAGCTTCCATGAAACCGGTAGGGGAGAGCCCCTCCTGGCCTCTCCCCGGCACTCCTTGGCTCCCCGCTGATACTCAGTCTCTGCCTGTCTTGACGAGGCTTCTCCCCATGTGGCCGTGACCTAATTGCCCACATCTTCTGAGAACATCGGTCATATCGGATGTCGGCCCACCCCAGGGACCTTATCTTAACCTGGTGGCATCTGCAAAGACCCTATCTCCAAGTCGGGTCACATTCACAGGTACCAGGGTTAGGATTTGAACACGTCTTTTGAGGGGGGAGCACACAAGTCAACCTCAAAAGGCCCCGCCGCCTTGAGCCCAGGTGGTGCCACTTGCCCAAGCCCACGCCTTCTCCTGGGTTCTGGGGTTGGCGGATGCGTCTCTCCCTCCGGCCGTGATAACTGAGCACCTTCCCCTTGGTACACATTTGGAAGTGGAAATTTTTTCTCCGGCATCTCAGTCCTGGAGGACGTGAGCTCCTCTGAGATGGGGATAGGAGAGTAGGAAGTGTCCGCTTTGGGGGAGGGGGAGAGCTTCTCTGTGTGTACGCGTGTGCCTCCGTGGGTGTGAGTGTGTGTGTGTGTTTGGGGGGGGTATGTGTGAAGGGTGGGGGTAAGGGAGGTGCAGGAGGAGGAAGGAGGAGGAGGCCAGAGCCTCCCTGGTGAAGGCAGAGGATAAGGGCAGAGTGGTTTTGTCCTAACAAGGGCAGGCGGCCAGCTTGTGACAAATACGGGAATATTACGCCTTTGGTCTCAGCCCCATAAAATAGGATATTAGTTAGGATATTGACTCTGTTACTTTAACAGGAACCAAAATAGCAGTGGCCCAAGCAAGGCCAGAGTTAGTTTGTCTTTCCTATAATGACTGAGCTGGCGGTGGGTGACCAGGAAGGTAGAGAGACACTGCCCCATGACGTTGCCCAGCGACCCAGACTCTTACTGCTCTGTCACCTGCGAGGACACTGTCCTTTTCTTTAAAAAAAAAAAAAAAAAATTTTTTTTAATGCTTATTTTAGAGAGAAAGACAGACAGAGTGAGCAGGGGAGGAGCAGAGAGGGAGGGAGACACAGAATCCGAAGCAGGTTCCAGGCTCTGAGCTGTCGGCACAGAGCCCGACGCGGGGCTTGAACCAGCGAACAGTGAGATCGAGAGCTGAGCCGAAGCTGGATGCTTAACCGACTGAGCCACCCAGGCGCCCAATGGTGTCCTTCTGGACAGAGTCAAAGCTGGTTCACTACCTCTTCCACATCCCAGCCACTGGGAAGAGGGGGAGGGGAGTGGACGACACACCCCTTCCTTTTCTAGAACCGCTCCCACTTCTACTGGCCAGAACTTCATCCCGTGACCTTGCTCGCTGCAAGGGAGTCTGGGAAGTATCTCAGAGGCCATGATCTTAGGGATTCTGCTAAAACTAACAAGGCAGGGTCAGGCACTGGGGAATAGCTGGAGGTCCCCTACAGAAGGAATGTGATTTTAGAGAAATGGTGTTACGAATCCACCCTTTACAACAGCAAAAAAAAAAACACGCCAATTACATCCTTCCGATAAAGAATATAAAAGGTACATGATTAGAAAGATCAGATTGTCAAATGGGATCTGTCCAGTCTTAGCCAACTGCGGGGTCATGACAGAGGTTTTATCTCGGGAAGGTGTGCGTTGGGCCGCTCTACGGCCAGCTGGTTTTCAATGACGTAACATGACTTGTAGCTCTCCAGAACCCGGGCCTGGAGGTACGCCTTGTCCTTCTCCTGCCACGTGTCGGACTCGATGTACACGTTGAACGGGTCGTGGGAGTGCTCCAGCTTCTTGGAGCGGATGTAACTCAGCATGATGCCCAGGGTGAAGAAGCCGAAGAAGCCGAGCACCATGAGGATATAGAGTGCCTCCAGCTGGCTGTCGTCACCGCCAGGCGACCTGCGGGCCAGGCCTGACGTGTTGCCGCCCTGGTGAGCCGTCCCCTGCCACAGCGCGTTCAGAAAGGGCGTCGTGGCCGTGGTGTTGGACAGAATCATGCTGGGCTTCGAGTTTCCACTGCGAGAGCTCCGACTTCCCGAGAAAACTTTCTAAGAGAAAAGTGCAGTGTGAAATCAGCAAGCACGTGCCGGCCCGAACCCACACACGCGCACACATGCGCGCGCGGTTTTCGAAATCTCAGGGGAGACGGGCGCCCCAACGTACCCCTCAGTCCATGGCATGTGCCTCCTTGAATCTGCACACACCCCTCTCTCGCTTGATCAGTTGGTCACTTGATTCCGTCTTATTTCCACTCACCACCCCCACCCCCCTCCGAGGCGACCACCGGGGGGCTTCCTCCACTCTACACGTTGGGTAGCGTGTGCGTATTTGAGGTTATGTGCTGTGGACCGAATTGTGTCTCCCAGTTCACGTGTGGAAGCCCTAACCCCCAACCGTGACTGCACCAGGCGACGGGGTCTGCAGGAGGTAATCAAGGTTAAATGAGGTCATACGGGTGGGGCCCTAACCTGATAGGACTATAGCCTTATAATAAGAGAGAGAAATCTCTCTCGAACCACGTGAGGACCCTAGGAGAGGGCAGCTGGCTACAAGCTAGGAAGAGAGCTCACACAAGGAACCAAACCCTTCCGGAACCTCGACCTTACAGCCGCTCAAGCTGTGAGAAAATGTGTGTCTGTAGTTTCAGCCCCCCGTCTGTGGGATTTTGTTACGGCATCCCCGGCCGAAGACATACAGATGTGCTGTTGGGGTACATAGCTGCCCCTCCTTCCTCTTCCTCTCCCCACCGTGACTTTATGGCCACTCTGGTGGTGAGGCGTGTCTGCACTCCTTTACTTCCGACGGTTGCACGGTACCCATGGCCCACACCTACTTCTTTTCTGTGCCCGCTCCCCCAGAACTGGATGCTGCTGTGGCCTCTAACTGCATAGGCAAAGGGGAAACAAACAAATACCCTTGTCCTCCTATGGACCTGGAAAAAGCCCACATTTCGTATATCTGGTGCCTGGTGATTCGTGCTAGTCAGACTGCTGTGCTCTCAGACGTCCTAGGAGGGTAACGGGCAAGGGGTGGTCTGTTCCAGCATGGAACAGCATGTGGATGGAACGCCTGCCTCTGGATGGAAAACCTGACCTAGAACTCCCCTCTCGGGGGCCAGTGTTCCACCCTGTGCTGTGTTTGCCCCCTCCCTGCCCGCTGCCCTCTGCCGGGTGACTGGCACCGGCCACGCAGGAAGGGACAGTTTCCCCCTCATTTTAATCTGGATGTCACTATCCCCGCAAACCCATGTAACAGGCCTGGGGCTTGTGAAGGCTTTTGCCAAGTAGCTCTGGGATTCTGTCAGGGGGTTCACGCGTTCAGACACCGCACCTTACGGTCACTGGTAAACTGAACAGGTTTCATTCGTACACAGTTACTGGTCAGAAACACTGTGGAAAGAGAAATTCCAATGTACAAGGTGGGGGATGGGGGTGGGGGGCTCCGCCTCTCCCACCTACGAGGGGGACTGCGATATCACATATCGTCTTGCTTAGGACACTGGTCAACCTAGAGCTCCTTTTTAGGATTGGCTTAATTTCAAAACTTCTGAGCCCGGCCCTAGGGGACGATGCCTCACCTAGAGGCACCTAGGCCCCTTCTCCCTCCACCGATGCCTGGCCTGTCCGTGCGCCCCAGAATTCTTTAGTTGGCCCAGAGTTTCTTCTCACTCTGCCCACCCCCTGCGTGGTTACACCTGCCCCTTCTGGTTCACCCGTGTGGCCATGACCCCAGCTGCCCTTCTGGGCACCAGAGCTGGGTGTCCAACGACCTGCCAGGGATTTATTTACCTTCGGCCATCCCCACGGCCCTCCACCTCCCTCACGCCTCCTGCTCCGTGCCTCAGTGAGCCGAGTGGCCGTGTACCCACCCCAGAACCTGTCGTTCCGGCTCAAGGGCCCCCCTGAGCTCCTTCTGACCTTCGGGGCGAAACACTCCATTTTCAGCATATAGAGCCCAAATGCGAGGGCTCCTGCCCCCTTCTCTTGCTCCGCTGTTGTCTCCTGCCCAGACCCCATGCTCTGGCCAAGTCCCGTACACATCATCACCTCTTTGGACATCTCCAGCCTAGGCATCCTCCTTCTTGGCCCATGAAGCTCCGAAGTGATGCCTGGTCATGCTTCTTAATCCAGCCCAACCTTCTCTGATGCATGCCATGCCCTTGAAGGCTGTGTGTTCCCTGCTGATTGACCCATGGTCATCATCTCTGTCCCCCACCTTGTCCCCTGCAGCCTCCTGGCCTGGTGCCTGGCACCCAGCAGCTTGGGAGCTGTCCATGAACTTCTTAATACCTCTTGACAGGTGGGCCCTGATTCTTCGCAACCGTAACCTGCGTATCTAATTAACGAATGCCCCTGAGCTGCCTTTAGACCGTTAGCTAAGTCCCTTTTGTCCCACCGGCTCGAGGAGCATGAGTGCCGGAGGAGAAAGTGATCAGCCGTTGGAATTACGTCTCCACTCCGGGTTTGGATTCTGGCCCTGCTGCTATCTGGCCACACGACCCTGGCCAGGTTCCTTAGGCCTGCTCCGTCTTTTTCCCTTTGGGACCAGGGGGAAACATCATTGACATTTGCAGCTGTGGGATCACTGACCCAGTAAGTAGAGGGGCACACAGCCGTGTGCACTCGGGGTCCCGGGTGTGAGTGCCTTGGTTTTTTCCTGCTCATTCAGAAATAGCAGCCCAGGGATTTGGAGGTCGGGGGTTTTAGGTCTGGCTCTTCCATGGCCGACCATGGTGGCTCCCTTTACTTTGTGGAGAAGACGCTCATGAATAAGGCACAAACGTGTTTATGGGCTCTCCTGACACCTCTGGGGCTTTTGAGTCTGTGCCCTGAGATCTGGGAGGGGGTAAGCAGGCTCCAGAGACTCCCAGCCTCTGATTCTTATCCCAAGCCAGCATTTCCCTCCATTCTAGCCACGGCAGTAGACAGGAATCATTTGGTAACATTTTTTTTTTTTTTCTTCGAAGCTTAGACCCAGAGCTGCTGGTCTGATGAAAATCACTCAAGACAAGAGGCTCTGGGCAGCTAAGATTTCCAAACAAGATGTCCAACATTTTCCTTTTAAATGACCTCAAACCACTTATGAATGCATAGACCCCTGCCCCGGGAAGGTACACAGGCCTTGAGCTGGTATTGCAATTTTTTTTCTAAAAACGTGGAATGACCACAGTCGGCAAGGAATCCCGCTGCTAATTACTGTTAGAGCATCCCTACTGCTTCACGACCACGCGAGATTGGAATCATGGTAGACAACCGGCAGAAGTTAGGTGGTTTAGAACTCATAGTTCCATGCAGCAAGTCAACCTCAGAGCAACTTTTGGAACCAATTCATATGGGTGGGATTACTGAGAAGACCTATTGCTTGAAACCAGACGGACTTTTCCGTGGCTGGAGAAAGGAACAGAAACAAGTGCTTGGAAAGCCCACCAGGCCTTACTCCAAAGTAGGGGTTGCTCAAACTTTAACATGCTTTAGAAACACCTTCTTGGGGTGCCTGGGTGGCTCAGTCAGTTGAGTGTCCGACTTCGGCTCAGGTCATGATCTCACAGTTTGTGAGTTTGAGCCCCACATCAGGCTCTGCGCTGACAGCTCAGCCTTCTTTGGATCCTCTGTCTTCCTCTCTCTGTCCCTCCCCCACTTGTGCACACACTCTTTCTCTCTCTCTCTCTCAAAAATAAAATAAACATTTAAAAGATGTTAAAAAAAAAAATCACCTGAAAATGCAGAGTGCTGGGCTCCACTCCCAGAGTTTCTGAATCCAGAAGGGTGGGGGTGGAGCCTGAGAATTCGCATTTCCAAATTCACAGGTGCTGCTCATGCTGCTGGTCTGGGGACTCCCCCTCCCTCCCACTTGGTAACCTATTGGAATCACCTGGAGAGCTTTAAAAAAAAAATACTGATGGACACCCCCGCCCCCTCCAAAGACTGTGATGTCCTTATTTGTGCTTCCTTGCTGGCATCAGGGCTTTTAAAAACTTCCTAGGTGATCCTAATTTGTAGCCAAGCATGAGACCCACTGGGCTATGGGACCTTAGGACACTGACCAATCATTTGTACTGCAAGGTGCCAGGAAGAGTTTTATAAGAAGAGAAACCATGACTTCATACAATAATTTTCAAATCCCGTTTGGTTTTTAAATTTTCTTTTTTTTTTTTTTTTTTTTGGTCTCCTATGTCCCTGATGTAATGTGAACAGAAGTTGCAGAGAGAAATTCTCAAGCCTTCCCTTTACCCCAGCTGCCTCCCACCCGACTCACACTGGCACCTTCAATTATGCTGAGCCTGTCGGAGCCTTGTGCCAGGCCAGGAAAGTCAAGTTCATTAACTGCCTTTCAAATAATGACTCTGAATTTTTAAAGGGAAATCTTTTTCTTACTTTACACATAATTTAATGTATTGCTTTTGCGAAATGCCCTCGGTGCCCCCAAGGCCTGCATGCTGGGTCACGCGGCGTTCTGTGTAATGAGTCTCAAAATGAGTTTGGCAATGTCCTCTTCATAGTCAGCATGGTGTAAATGAACTCAAGCTGCATGTCAGCTGGGGGTTTATGTCCCATTCTCCAAGTTCACTTCTATTATCATGCCAAAGCACTGCCCAGTGGCCACTGTTTCACGTTACTGGACTCAAATGGATTTGAAGAACTAAGCCAGCAATCTTAACTCACAGGGAACTAGGCTCCATAGAGTTGAACTGACCTGTCCAAGGTCACGTCTCTTATCAAAAATGCATCTAAAATTTAATCTCGTGGCCCTGAACTCACATTTTATTAGTACAGAAAAAGGAGTTCTCAGGACCTTGCAGAGAACAGAGAGATTCTGTATTTAAGGTCAAAGGAGCTGAGGACTTGGGCACTTTTATCAGGTAAAACCAGGGCTACCCAAATGAGGACAGGCTCGTGACCTAAATGTGCCATCAGGACACCCCCTCCCCTCCTGGGGTGAACCACAGCTGTTTGTAGCTTGCACGGTGTCAAGGGGGCTGGGGGAGGGGGCAGAAGCAGCAGGAACCAGGGAGGTCCAATTCCAAACACAGCCAGTTTTATGCCCAGCCCATGCTGGACATTCTCCCCCATTCTCTTTTTATTTATTTTTTTAAGTTTATTTTGAGAGAGAGAGAGAGAGAGAGAAAGAGAGCACACTAGTGGGTGAGGGGCAGTGAGAGAGGATCCCAAGCAGGTTCTGTGCGGTCAGCACAGAGTCAGACATGAGGCTCGAACTCACGATCTGAGCTGAAATCACCAGTTGGATGCTTAACCGACTAAGCCACCCAAGCGCCCCCACGCTGGACATTCTCGCATTGGCCTTCCTGGGCCCAGAAAGAGGGGGTTTCTAGAAGTGTCTGCCTCAGCCTGGGTTTGAGCATCCTCGTGCAGCAGGGACACCGCTCCCAGTCAAGGTTAGTGCATTTTTTTCTTCTTCAAAGTTTAGACCCAGAGCTGCTGATCTGCTGGAAATCACTCAGGATACGGGGTTCTGGGCAGCTGAGCTGAGCTAAAAGCTGCCAGTGGAGACCACCTGGGTCTCCACGAGCCTGGGATCCTGGGAGACTCCCAGCTGCACCCAGAGGAGAAGGGGGCAGTGAGTGACGTCACGCCGGCCTGGAGCATATCACCCCTTTTGCATTTCCCTCACAGGTCCTGGCTATGTCGCCCGGCTGCACTGATAACACAGCCTGGAAGCTTTCAGAACAGATTTCCTAGCATTGCCACATTTCATTCTCTCTTAAGTGTTTACTGAGCAACCAACGCTTCTGTGGCCGACTCCAGCCACACTTGCTGAGAGGGATAGATGCTGGGGGGAGTAGGGAGTGTCTGAGTGAGAGCTCGAAGATCTGAGTTCCAGCCCTGACTCCGTCCTAGATAAAACACAGGGTTCCCCCGGGGCCCTTCCTTTACTTATGCGGGTAGAGCAAGGAGAACATTCCTATGGTCTTAACAGCATTCCTTCAGCATTTCCTCAAAGAGCATCCAGTCTTGAAATCCTCACTGGCCTTCACTTGTATCAGGAAGCAGAATGAGGGTAAAACTGATTATGGATTAACCTAATTTGGGTGCATATGATCTTACTGATCCCAGAACTCGCGAGCATGTTTTCCCTGGAAGCAGCTATCAATTATTTTCATCTTTATCTCAAGCACCCAGAATGGCTCAATAAGAGATTGCTGGATTAAATCCGAATGCAAAGTATTAGGTTCGTTACAACCACAATGTGATTGCGAGTGCAAATAACCAACAGGGAATGATACACTCTTGAAAGAAATTGGGTGGGTAGCCAAATGAAAACGTCTTTCGATACAGCATGCTTTTTTTTCAGTATGTTTCTATATAATAAAATGTAAGCTATTTTTATTTATATTTATATCATTAGTAGTATTTATTTTGTATATTAAAATTTATACTACTAACATAGCTACGTGTCTACACGTCTACAACCTGCCTTACTCCTAAAAAGGTTTAAGGCAGTCAGTAATTGTTGACAGTGTGGCAGAATTTTTATCTCTTCCCCCCCACTCCTGGTAACCCTTTACGGTGTTTTCCCCTTCTTTTTTTCCCTAATACTTAAAACCTGCTAATACAACATCATTTTCTTATTTACTATGTCCATTGCTTGTTGTTTGTCTTCTCCGCCAAAGCCTACGCATTGGACAAGGGCGTTTGCGCGTGATCTTCCGCATGTATCTCAAGGACTAGAACAGTACCTGGCATATGGTAGGAGCAGAATAAATATTCATAGGACGCAGGCATGCATGCATGAATGCATGAATGAATAAATGTTCCACTCAACTACCAGAAAGCCCTGAGCCACCAGCTCTACCTTCAGAGACTTAAGATGAGAAGACTGAGTCCCTCTGATGTCCTCACGATGTACTTTATTTTCAAAACAACCCACTTGCTAAGAACCTGTCAAAAGCGAGACATCCCAGGGCCATTCTCGAAAGGTAGATTGCCTTCCTTGGACCCATCCTTAGCTCATATACTCAGGCGAGTATATGAAACAGATGACAGAAAGCAGGTTTTTTGCCGCCTCCTTAGATACCCACAGATCAGAGTCAAGGTGCTTTCTGGCAACTCGGCACATATGAACTTAAACAATTGTGTGACCACAGCAAAGTTCCCCACCAGCCTGAACATAAATGGCCCTGGTGGCTACTGGCCAGAACCTTCATTAATGGAACCAGAAGCTCCTTCTTAACCTAAATGTGGACTCGAAATAAACAGCTTACATATAGCAGTTTAAAAAATCCAGGTGGGAGGGGGCACTTGGGTGGCTCAGTCAGTTAAGCATCCAACTTCAGCTCAGGTCGTGATCTCACCCTTGGAGAGTTCGAGCCCTGCTTCGGGCAGGCTCTGTGCTGACAGCTCAGACCCTAGAGCCTGCTTGGGATTGTGCGTCTCCCTCGCTCCCTCCCCAATTTACAATCTCTCTCTCTCTCTCTCTCTCTCAAAATAAGTAAACATTAAATTTTATTTTTTTTTAAATCCGGGGCGGGGCGGGGGGGGGGGGGACAATGTAACAGACGATAGATCCAAAACACCACCGCAGGCAGCTTGCTTCCAGAAGTTCCACATTTTCCCCAATTACTACAATCAAGATCAGATACCAACAAAGATTGCCCCATGCCTTTTCCCCAGGGAGAGGCCAAGGCCCAAGACCCTTCCTGGTCAAAAAAATTCTAACGTTCCCTCCGAGGCTGGGTGTATAGGTCAGTATTGCCCGAGCTGGATGGAGGTCTTCGAAAGAGTGGGGACTGGAATCTTGGGCGGCTTTAGTTCTCTTTGGATGCTTTTAGGCATTTGCCGAGTTTTCTACAAGAGTGGCTGAGCTTTAGTAAAAACGGGGAAGTGTGGTCGTTAGTGGCGGGTGAGATCGTTTTCTGTGCGTGCGCCTCTAAGTGAAGCCGGCAGAGCCGAGAGCGGAGAGGGGGCGCGGGCCGCGCGCCGCAGTACGCGGGTCGCGGCGCCTCCTGCCCTGCGGCTGAGACCGGGGCCCTGGAGCCCCCGTCCGGGTCGCCCGATTGCGGCGCCGGCGCGCGGGGCGAGGAGCCGGGAGGCGGGAGAGTGGACTTACCGGGTCTGGAGCGTCCAGGCGGCCGGGTGCGCAGCGGGTCCGCCGGCCGCGCGCAGGACACCGACAGCCGAGCCCGAGGCGGCGCCCTCCGGGGCAAGTGCACCGCGCTGGCGGGCGGGGCCTCCCGGAGCCGGCGGGCGCCCCGCCCCGTGCCCGCGCGTCCCCGCCCCGGCCCCCGGCCGACCTCAGGCCAGACCCCGGCCCCCTCGGCCCTCCGCAGCCTGCGATCCCCTTGGATGGCGCCGGTGGGCTCAGCGCCGGCAGAAGGTCGCTATTACTACAATTGCCAGCCGGCCAGCCAGCTCTACCTTGCTGCAGGAGTTTGAGGTTGGCAGGCGAGAAGGGGCTAAGGCCAAGAGAAGGGCATTCCGGGAGTCCTCCCCCCCAGCCCACCCCCACCCCCACCGCCGCCACCACCCTGGGCCCAGCGCCACATCCCTTCCAACAGCTCCAAACAGTAACTTAAAGACGCTCCAAGCCCCGCAGACTCCTTTTCACCGCATCCCGCACCCCAGCTGTGGCCGCGCATCTCGTGGGCAGATGTATCCAGCACCTACTGACGGGGTGTCCGGCCCCGAGCTGGAGGGGCAGCTGTGGCGCAGACAGGTGCGGTCCCCGCCCGCGGGAGTCGGTCGCCGGAGCCACCCACGCACGCTTTGGCGCTGGCTCTCCAAAGTCCTGGGGGCGGTGGGACCGGCCACGTGGGGCAAACCGCACACCCGCCGAGTGACCTGCCAGCAACTTCCCAGCAGCTGCTCAGGTTTGGGAAGCGAGAATGAGACTGGGCTATTCCCAGTCCTGCTAGAGCTGGGGGGGGGGGGGGGGGGCGGGTAGGGTAAGGTCCTGGCTCAAGGTCTGCAGGCAGGTAACAGAGAAAGAAGGTTCCTGACCTAGAGCCAGAAGACGCTCCCTCTAATTGGTCTGCCTCTTTCCCTCTCCTTCTTAGGCCTTGGCCCCCGTCCGCTCCTGGGGAGGAAGCTCTGGGAAGGGTCCACCCCATGTGACAGACACTCCAGGACTCAGCTCAGCCGGCCAAGGCCGAGCAGGCACCTCCAGGCTCCAGGGGCACCAGTATGAACCCTCATCAGACACTCTGGAAAGCCCTAAAATGTCCTTAGCCTCGATGTGTAATTGTACTGTGTGAAATCTGTTCTGTGGGGAGGGATAATGGATGAAGCTTAGAAAAGCTTTATGCATAGAAATGTTCTTTGAGTTTTACTTGCAGTAACTAGAATCTGAAGGTCTCAAAATATAAAAGTGGTTAAAGATGGGGCGCCTGGGTGGCTCAGTCAGTTGAGCGCTGGACTTCAGGTCAGATCACGATCTCACCCTTAGTGAGTTCGAGCCCTGCACAGGGCCCTGTGCTGACAGCTCAGAGCCTGGAGCCTGCTTCCTGATTCTGTGTCTCCCTCTCTCTCTGTCCCTCCCTGACTTACAATCTGTCTGTCTCTCTCTCTCGAAATAAGTAAACAATGAACAAAAAGTTTTTTAATAAAATAATAAAAAAAAGTGGTTCAGGATGGCACCTATGGGTATTATTCTCCATACCGGAATATTACATGCGGTCATCAAGGCAATGTTTACAAATAGTTGGTAACAACACGAGGGATCCTTCTATTGTAATGTTAAATGAGAAATAATGAGGCTCTAAATCGCACACACAGGATGCTATGCGTTATTTGAAGACTGAAAAAACACACCACAATGTTAATATTGTCTGTAAATGGTGGGCTTATGTGGGATCTATTTTCTTATTTACACTATTTTGTGTTTTCCTTTTTGGGGGGGCAATAACTCTTTATTCTTTAATATTTAGGGGAAAAAATACATACACTGTATCTGGAAAGTCCCTAGGTTCACCGTGCTCAAGGTCAGGCTGTATGCAGGTGGTCTCTTTTTGCCCACCTGTCCAAAAAGGGACTCCACTAGGGGGGAAATGGGTTATGGGTCGAAGCAAAAATGTTTATCTGCCAAATTTATGTAGAGCCCCTTCAGTGTCAACTCACGGGCCGGGTAACTGTGTGTGGCGTGCCCCCCACCAGCTGTGACGTTACTATCTCCCCAGGCGGTGGGACAATGCCACCCCCGTTATTGTGGAGACACTGTATGGCAGCGTTTGCAAAAGGTGATACGTACGGGAGTGGCGGTCTTCATACCTCTCTTCCTGGTTCTCCGGGAACCACATGTGATGGATTGTTGGATCATGACAATACTATTTTTGTCATTTATTTTTTTTTCTCTTTTTTTTTTTTTAATTTTTTTTTTTTCAACGTTTATTTATTTTTGGGACAGAGAGAGTCAGAGCATGAACGGGGGAGGGGCAGAGAGAGAGGGAGACACAGAATCGGAAACAGGCTCCAGGCTCCGAGCCATCAGCCCAGAGCCCGACGCGGGGCTCGAACTCACGGACCGCGAGATCGTGACCTGGCCGAAGTCGGACGCTTAACCGACTGCGCCACCCAGGCGCCCCTTGTCATTTATTTTTAATGATGCATTATGATTGCAGATGAGAAAAATGGCACTCTGTGACTTGAAATGGTTTCTTCTTTTCTCTTTCTCTTCCCTCTTTTGCCCTCTTAGTCTCACCTTTGCCCAAGGAGCGGGTGCCACTGAACTTAAAATAATCATAACAATAGAGCTACAGCCCATCAAGCCATTGGGTCATTTCTCCCTCTCTTCTCTTTCTCTCTCTGACTCCCCCACCTTCTGTGCTCTTCTTGGTCCCTTCGTTGGGAACTGGGTCTTGGGAAAGGGGTGGCAAACGTAGCCCCCTTCTCTTCTGAGTGGCTTTATCTTCCTCTTCTGTGAGTTCCCACCTCGATGCAGGTGGCATCGGAAGTCAGAGCTCCGGCCACTCATTCGTTTCATGCTTGTTTTTAGGGAAATCTCGTATCTTAATTTGCAATGTGGATGTCGTGTTTCTGTTTCTAACCTTGCTCTGGGGAGGGAAAGGCTCTGCCCTCCGGAGGGACTGATCTTCAGTGTAACCCACCCGGGGTGTTTCATGGACCGTGGACCAAGATCTGTGGACAGTTCATTGCTGTTCCCTCCGGCTGCCCTTCGGTCGGCGTCCAGATGCCCCTGGATTAGCCTGAGGACATGCCCTGCCCCGTGACCCCTCCTTCTTCTTGCCTGTCCTCCCCTCTCCCCCATGGCTTTACCATCCCACGGGAAACTCTCATTTCTCAGTGAGAAACACAGCTGTAAGGCAAACAACCTTTCTTGAGTAACAACAGAGCATATCCTGGGCGCAGTCACATGCTCCGTTACGACATTTGCCACGGGAAGTACAAAGAGGAGGAAGGACACGGAAGTCCTCATTCTGCCCTGCTGGTGACAGATGAGGAGGTGTCGAGTGATGGAAGAGGAGAGGCTCACCCCGCCTGCCCCCTGGGGCGCCGCCCCCCACCGCCCTCCGGAGCTCCGTCGGCACCGCACGCAGGTGGCCTGGCACACGTGTCCGTGTCTTCTGTGACGGCCACACAGCGCTCTCATCCCTTCTGCCTCGTTTCCTCGGCCAGAATCTCCCCATCTGATCCACTTGGTTGTAGGAGGCCTGCCTCAATTTCCTCCCAGGGCTCCTCTTTGGCTGGGCGTCCTGCACACAAGGGGCATCCTTCCCAAATGCTGAGGTCTCCTGGCATTCTCCTAAACCCTCCTAGAGGTTCTGATGAAAAGAAACCCCCCTCAAGCTGTGTATAAGCCATTCCAGCTCCGTGAGCTCGCTTCCCACTGCTCTGCCGCACCCCCACCCCCAAACTTCCAGACCAGCAAACGAGGCACCTCCGTTCTCTGCGCACAGCCCGCCTTTCCCGCCTCCAGGTGGATGATCGTCCTCCAATGTGGGCCCAGGACATCTTTAAACCCCAGATCTCCAGCAAAGGTCTAGCCCAAGGGGCCAGGGGCCAGCTCTGTGCCTCCTGGCATAGGGTCAATTTGTTTGCTTAGGCTTTGAGTTTGTTTCCAAGATTAAAAAATCGAGATCTCTCCTACTAAACACTGAGATGTCTGGCTTCCTCTATACAACTCAATAGATCTTAGAAACTTTATGCTCGCCTTTGGCAGGGCGACAAGTGACAGGAGCGTGATTTTCCACAAAAATACACGCTAGAGAATTTGCCAAACGCCCTACCATTGCACAATCCGCAGGACCCACTGACTCTGCCTGTCTGTAGGGATTGCGTCTGTCGCTCCTGTTCTAGGCCTTTCCCTTCCGGGACAAAGCCCCCTCACCTGGCTGTTCCTTCCCTTTGCATTCCTGGGAACTCAGGTCCTCCCTTGCTTTGGCTTTGCTAATTTGTTGTGTGGCAGGTGCCAAGTTGGAGACGGAGGTTTTGTTTATCCTTTTAGAGCAGCGCTTCCTAATTTTTCAGGAATCTTCTCGGGAATCTATGGCTTTCCTCCCATCCCTCCAAACGCACGCATGTGCAACACTTTGCCTACAGCTCAGGAGACTTAGGGCCCCCGGTGTGGTAGGTTCGCGGCTGCCGTATGAGGAGCCACCGGGCAAGGACTCTCTTTTCTGTGGATCAAACTCGACTCCGTGGTACTGATTCTGTGGGTCTCCCCTGTACGCCGCGTGTGGATGGATTGCTGGACAGCAAGACTGTCCACAAAAACAGTCATTTCAGCTGCCTCTGCTCAGGTCCTGGGAGCACCAGTCCTCATTCTTGGCATCCCGGAGTCACCTAAGGAAGATGATGTACCAGTTACAGACCCACCGACTCAGGCCTCACAGCTGCCCTTGCCTTTCCCAGCCTTCACCTTGCTATGAAAAGAGCACAGATCCAATGAAGAAAGCTTTTCTAAAAGAAAGAACAGCGTGGTTCACCACCCCACCCCCTCACCCCCTTTCTGTCCCGGAATAACGATATGCTGATAGGAACATGGATAAATTAATTACACTCTGGAATGCTATTCATTGCTAGGAAAGAACACTGAATCTACACATAAGGCGCTTGACATTTGAATACAAACATTGCCCTTATAAGGTTTCTTTTAAAACCCTATTGATCCAGTTTACGCAGGATTTATAGGTATAATCCTTTTAAACGCCGTGGCTTCAGAATCACAGAGGTGGCACTATGCCCAGTGCCAGAGTCAGCCAAAGAACAAGGCAACTGCGGGAATGAGATTAGCATCTCTTCAGTTCCTTGTATGTCTGATACTATTTTGCCGTTCCTCCGATTCCTGATTACACAGAAGCCCCGTTGTGGCCCACGTCCCTGAAAAGCAAGGACACCGGCAAGCCGGAACCGAGAACCAGCGCAGGCAGCCTTTCTGGGAATGTGTGCGAAGGTCACTTTTTAGAGATGGGACTGTCCACAGCCATTGTCGCGATTTCGGTGCTGTTGCAACCAGGACCTTCTGCCTGGAAGTCCGGATTAATGCCGGAGGCCGTGAGCGGGGATTGAAGATAGGCGAAGAAATCAGAGGTGGTATCTGGCATGACCCGGAGGAGGAGAGGAAATGTATTCAGAGGGAATCCTTAGAAAAGCAAATTCCAGGAGCGCCTCTGTGGCTCCGTTGGCTAAGCGGCCGACTTCGGCTCACATCACGGTCTCACGGTTCGCGAGTTCGAGCCCCGCGTCGGGCTCTGCGCTGACAGCGCGGAGCTTGCTTGGGATTCTCTCTCTCCCTCTCTCTGCCCCTCCCCCACTTGCACTCTCTCTCTCTCTCTCTCTCTGTC